GCTATCAAACAATATTACATGAGGTCATAATCATAGCCTTCCAGCTTAGGCAACGTCATTCTTTGCTCTTCTATTTTCTTATTCCTTTCCTCTATTTTCTTCTCAATTCTAAGTTGCTGAATGGTTATTTCTCTCCCACGCAGAAGCTCACTAAAAAGAGAAAGAATTGACAGTGCTAAAGTATCTGTTGAGGGGAGCAGGGACTCCAAGAGATGTACATAGTCATCAGGATGATGCGTTCCACAAATAATTTTAAAGTGCCTATAATGCACCCTGGCCAAATATTAAAAGTCCGCAATGACAATTTCTCGGAGTATGAAAGTCACCAAATAAAAATTCTTGATTTTACAGCAGTTTTAAATTGCATTATAAGCTAAATTTGGGCATCCTGTGCTAAAAAAAGCTTTCTTTGGGAGGTTTGGTGACGACTATGATGAMGTAGTGTCTGGGACGCATTTTCATGTTTGATCGAGAAGACTATGCTGGTTCATGTAAACAGTTGAATCTCAGCAAGACATAGTTGTACTCTTCTCTATTGCACTCAAATCTCTTTGATGTTGGTTTGTTGACACTTTGGTTGTTCCGGACACTACATCATCAAAACACTAGTGCCAATCCCCCGCATCACTCAGTTTTGTAGCACTTATGTTCAACTTTGAGAGCTCATAAAAAAATAAATAAAAAATACTGGTTTATATGTAACTAAATTCATAAACAGCATTGATACAGAATATTGGYCAGAGAAATTTGACTGGAAAATAGATCTACTAGAAGAGGTCATCATATTATGCCAACTTAAGCACATTGGATGACTGTCACAGTGCTTTGTTGATCAAATGAATATCAGGCACCACATATTCAGTGAAAGTTTCAGTCACTACTCCATTTTACTAAGTCCTAAAATGAAGGAATAAAAATCCAATCATTGCTTTATACGAATGATAAACAGTAAATTGCATGACTTGTAAAGTTAACTAAGTTATAACAATATCTCTATTACCATAGTATGTGTCAAAAAACCCTYGTTACAGTTAACCCCATTGACATCCACAGTAAGGTTATTTCAACTGAATAATACAAACAAACAAATCTTGATAATTTCGACAATTCAATGCAGTTTTCACCATCTACAGGTAGGTGTCCAACTTTTAGAGTGATTATTAGTTAGGCCACTTTGAATGCAAGATTTTGACAGTCATCCAATGCAGTAGTAAAATAATTTTAAAATTGAACTCTTTCATGTTATTCTCCTGATAACAGTGATATTGTCAGTCCATCTGATACCTGTATTCAATCTCCCCATCATCATTAATATCAATGAATTCAATCAATCTATCAAGTTGACGCTGCAAAAAATAAGTAGAAGTAGCGAGGTTAAAATGAAAAAAAAACAACACACATAATGAAACAAAAGGATATTTTCAGACACATAAATTATAAAGAACAACCAAAATGAGGATTTCAAAATGATTTTAAAAAGTCTCCAGAGAATTGCAAGAATGTTTAAAGTCTTTGTTTTTGCATATTCATACTCTTTTACCATGATTATAGAAGCTGTTTAGCATAGAGTACAAACATTAAATGCGTGCAACACTTTCCACTATTTACTACAAAATAGTGTTAATTAAACAATAGAAAACAATAGAATTAGCATAAATTGAGCAGTATTTAGTAGTATTTATGTTGCACAGTTTTAGTGTTTGTACTCTATTGTTTTGTAAGTGGTATATAATTTTGCCTAAATTTGTCTTTTGTTGTCTTTTGATTATTAGACAGTTCATCAGCTGTAATTTAATTAAATATATAATCTATGTTGTGAAAGTATTAAAGTTGAACATGCAACTTATGCAAATCTAAAAATGAAAAGTACCACCTCAAAAACGATGATGACTTGATCACATGATGACACAATTATACAATAGTCCACTTCGCGGATAATACAGCTATTAGAAATTGAGCAAAAATCGAAAAAATATTACCACCACTGGAAAGAACAGTATAAAATTAGTATGTTTACCAGGTTTGAGCATGATTCGATGAAAATTCAAGGAGATACAGCGTTTAAAAGTCGGCAAAATTTACAAAGAAATGTATGGGCTGTCGGCAAGAGATCGAGGTTGACCTTGACTTGTTACAACCTCGACAAACATTTCTATGCAAAATTTAGTGTTTTTGAAGTGCCGTATCTCTTTTAATTTAAATCAGATTATTGTCAAACTTGGCAAATATGCTGATTTTACGACGCTCTTTCCAGCAGTGATGTCAATGATTAACCATAACGACGTAATGTAAAATTTCGAATTATCCGCGAAGTGGACTATTATGATATCTTGATCTCATATGATAACTACTACTTGATCACATAAAGATGACATCACACAATAATAATAAATCAGACAATGGTGACTTAACTTACAGTTGTCATTACAAGTCCTATCTCTTTTAGTCCTTTACGGAACTCCTCCCTAGATATTCCACCACTGTGATCCTTGTCAAACTGGTTAAACCAGTCAATAAGGCGTAAACGGTTGTCCGAAATAAAATCAAGAAGTATGCGCATTCCTGGTGGCATTTCCTGAGATACAATAAYGTGATACATTAATGGGACTATGAAAATGTATATGCTGGATAAGAGCAGACTTTAAAATAAACAATTATTATCAAATTACATCATCAACCAGATCTGTAGCAAGATAAGTTAGTATGATAACAATTGGACTGCAAAAGACAGACCCATAAATATGGTCACCAAACTAGGTAACTACCATGAAATTACCTTCTTGTAGTTTGACCTTTTTGAAAAATATTATTATATGTTAATTATAAGCTTCAAAAGCTGCCAGGATTTTAGTAGGTAGGACATTTACACAAAGAGGTGAGAAGCCTATTGGTATCATTTGGATTTAAACTCTATTCTCAAGTTCTAATAACAACAATAAACTTATAAATAAATATTTCTTTTTACTCAGAGTCAACTAGACCCTGAAGGCAGGGTGTACTCGTGCCCTAAAGGTGTTGAAAAGTGCTGTCTTATTCAGTCCTTTTTCAAAATGAGCTCATTTGAAACTATTCTAAGCTTGTGTTTGACCAACCATGTAATATACTGTCTTTCTTAATATTCGAAAATAGTTCGACCGAGTTGACACTCTGAGGAGGGTCTGGTTTTGCTGCTCTATGACACGCTTGTTTACAGGCCGAGTTCGTAATGTGATATTTCGTTTAGAGATCGGAGTGCGATCGGGATGCAAAGGTCAACCTGAAGGCAAAGGTCTCATATATATATATATATTTTATATATTACTATAAAAAAAACTATACTCGCTGCATTTTCTGACTCGTGACCCAGCCTAGGGCCTGGTCACGAGTAATGATGTTTTGAAAACATGCTTCAAATACATCATGCACTGTTACTGCAGTTTAATGTATTCACTGTCTCTGCACTTTTGTCAATACCACTGCACATTGAATACCAAAAACGGTCAAAAACAAATAATGACTATCCTTAACAAAAGTTTTTTTTTTTATTTATTCTATTAGTTTTGCCCTACTTTTGGCAGGGACAGTGCAACAGCTTGAGCCAATTACTGTAGATCCTGTACTCTCGCACTCACTACCTCTACATTAAGTATTTCAGCACACAACACTCCTCTCGTGTTGATTTTTGCTGAGGGAGGAAAACCAAAGGACCTAGAGAAAAACCCTCGTGGCAAGGGAGAGAACAACACATCAAACTCACATATGGTCCGTGCCCGGGAATCGAACCAGGACCACAGCTTAAGCACTAGGCCACCCGTGCCTACAAATCCTCTCATAATTGATAAATTACCTTTGGTCTTTTATAGCCTCCTATTCCTCCAGTAATGATGGTAATATTTCTCTCTGCCTCTAAGKCTTTGATCTCATCAAACACTTTAGGTGATACAGTTATATCCTATAATCAAAATGAATTGGAACTGATATTAAATTTCTGTTTGACTGCRGTTAGATTCTATAACACTGTCTTGGCAGGCATCTTTATATAATAATCAGACTAATTTGGAAAGTGATCCTGTCTGTCAAATTGCTGTACATTTTTGGGGGGATCGAGACTAACCTTACATGCATCTAATATAGTAATTTCAAAAACATACACTGTCCTGAGATCTACAGATTTACAAACASAGAAAAACAGCAACTAAAAAAGGTCACTAATTAATAAAGCTTTGATGGGATTAAACTTATGTACCGAACTTATATTTTATTAAAAAGGTTAAATATGTAAAATTAAAAATACTAACTAAGGTTTTACCTCTGTTTGTTGAAAACATTGCTATAATTTATGTTATTTAACAATTAGACCTCGAGGTCGAGTCGACTACAAGCTAATAGCCCATGAGGCTGAGTCCGCGAGGCTGAATGGGCTATTAGCTCGTAGTCCACGAGGCCGAGAGGTCTAATTGTTTTAGTACAAACATACTAATCGGTCAAATAATGAAAACAAATTGAAATATCCTTAAAATAATTTATTAATGAGATGCCTCCATTTTGATTTTCCCGCGAGTGGTCTATAACAAATTAGACCATTAGTAGAGTAGCCAATCACAGCGCAGTATGAGTGATAGACCATTAGTATGTCTAAAATGTATTATATACAGTGTATTAACGTAAAAAGTTTCTTATTCTTTTCTTGGAAATATATAAATGAAAATGAAAATGAGCATATATCAATAATAAATCTAAGCCAATGAATAAAAGCAACAGAAAGTCATATCACCAGAATAAGACAATATAAAACAATGATCATGTCAAACCAAAATATCAAGCAAACCTCTAGTGATAAGTATGATATGGTATTATGAGTCTTGACAACACTAAGAAGACACTCCACACCAACATCACCCATTGGGTTCCTACCAATCTAGAGAAAAACAATCATGMATCACTTCATAAGCTTTATTTGAAAACCACTAACTTATAAATGTGGTTCAAAAATATCTAATACAACTCTGAATAGCTTCTTACTTTGAAATTCCCACACCTACCGGTAACAAGGAATGGGAATTTATGATCAAAGCTGCTAGTTATATCATAACAGATGGGCATGCACCCTAGACTTAATTGTGATAGAAGACATCATGCTATGACAGAGATGTTTTATGTTATGACMAATGTGCCTTGTATAGCTTAACATTAGCCTATATAATCATGCAATGGGCAAATAAATTTGTGATGTCATGAGAGGAACATAAGGATTTGATTGAAGTATTGTAAGTAAGGGAAAGTATGTTTTATAATTGGGGGGGGGCTGGAGTGGGAGAGGGGAGGGTCACATCTTCACCCGTAAGCATAGGGTAGGGTCATTCTAGTTTTTAAGTTTTAACCTTTACGTATATACCTCTGTTTCTATTCAGAATTTACAGATCTTTGCAGCTTAATAGCACCTTACGAATCCTTTTGGTAGTCCCTTTGACATAAAGGAGTATCACGAAGCCTTTAGATCAGCTTGCTTTGCCCATCCCATTAAAGTGTGAATAACATTATAATGAATTATAGTTCAAGTGATACCGCTGAATAATAGTTTTAGACTCAGAGTGGACATAGTTTTGTCAGTAATATAAATCTTTACCTGTATTTACATATTTTCTTTCCAAACTATATATTAATAATTATTATTATAGACAATTTAGTTTTGGAAACTGAAATGTTAGCACAAGTCAAGCAGAAAGTTTTAGAGAACTTTAATGACTTTGAACAGTTTCACAAACAACATTTCATTCTTTTGTCTATTTTAAGTGTGTTTGGTATACTTTAGTTATTGTTACTTATATATTAATTAATACCAATAAAAAAAACTAACATATTTATATGGAGACTTGTGTGTGGGGCGGAGGGAGGGAAAAATTGCTCTGAAAACTCCAGCCCTTCCCTCAAGTAATGAAAATGCACCTTCCCTAAGGGGAGCTAGGTGAATGTATTATGTTTCACCGGATGTAATGCCTGTCATTCATTTGACCAATAATAAAAACACTGTTAAAGAATCATAACCACCCGCCGTACCYTGCGAACCRAAGCGCCATTTTAAGTGGACAYGAAAATGGCGGATTTGTAGGATTTCTTAAAGTGAGCGCAAATCGTCTTCCGTCCTTTCAGTTTGGACAGAAATACCTTTAACTAAGTACCTCACAGGTACTATCAATCTATAATTTATTGTATGCTTGACGCATTTAAACRTATGTAAACAATAATACGAGCGCGCAAGGTACGACCGGTGGTTATGATTCTTTAAATTTGTTAATTTCCATGGTGACCAAATTAAATTACCCTTCAAATATCTTACCATGTAGTTCGTTAAAAATGTTGTTGGCCAACAGCCAAATAATCTTTACTCTTCTAGTGTTATCAGTGTTTTAATTTATTTAATCATTTGGTTATATGGTGTTTGGTATTTGCCCTATTTTTGAATGGTATTGCATTGTTTAGACTCCCTATGCCCCCTCTTTCATTTATTATGAAACTTTCTGACAGTGATATGAATAGCCGACTTTAGATATTTTGGTTCAGTGACCATGCACAAAAGAATTGCAGACGAGGCTCCAGGGAAATAAAGAATAAAACGATATTATCCATTGATAAAAAGAGTTATTTTGAAGTGCACGCTTCAAAATGACCAATCAAAGAGCGTATAATATCGTTTTATTCTTTATTTTCCCGGAGCCTTGTCTCCAATTCTTTTGTGCATTGTCACTGAACCAAAATATCTAAAGTCGGCTATTAAAATGAAGTTACATATTAGTGGCATCAAATAATTTTTTTTTCTGAAAATTGGTGCACAAATTGCCTGCGAGTATTATGATCACAAAACATCATTTAAAGGGGTATTCTCTTAGAATCATACCTTTAACACTTTAAGATTAGGATGACCAGCAATTCCTGCAGCAAGTTTCTGTGTTCCTAGCAAACCAATCCTATTATTACTGATGTCAAGTTCADCCAATGCTTCATTCCTTTTAAGAAATCTTCCCAATGCCACACAACCCAATAGGGACAAGCCATTCCAAGACATGTTAAAGTGTGTCAGGCAATCATTGGTCTAGAAAAATATCACAAGATTTAAATTAAAACACAAACTAACTGTTATGGCGCTTTGCTTCCAATCGAAGGCATAGTTTGAACTCGTCGTTTTCTTGTTTCCTTTTATTTATTAACCGATAAGTTACATTACGGTATTACGATCACGGTATTACGGTTCCTAGATATACAAAGACAAAAATTACAACGATGAACAGTCTATAAATCTATAAACGAAGGAAGAGAAACGAAAGAATACTTACAAAACAATATGCTTGTGCTCTATTGCGGTAGACGATTAAAGAGAACGAATATGCAAAAACGAAAGACTTTAAGACATTTACAACTCTCAAGGGACACAACAAGAACGTACTAAACAAAACATTACATAAACGATCTACTTAACGATTTCGCATTAACACTAACATTAACATAACATGCCTTATTCAAAGAAACATTTTGACAGTTTTAGTAGTAAGTCTAAGCTACAGTCCAAGACAAAATTTAAGTCTATTACTAGCTGCAAAACAGAGGATACAACCTATTTATTGGGTGTTTTCACCCTCCCCCATTATCTCCCATGAAGCCTCTCCCACAACTGAGAGATCTAAACAGGGTGTATTGTGAGCACAACTTTGTAAATGGGGAGTCCAGGCAGGGTGGAAATTGTAATAAATATGTATGTTACAGCAGACATTGGTTTAATTTGTCCCATGTTTTTGGTCACTCTTAAATGATTATAGAACTGGAATCAACTACTTAATTTCAAGGGTTAAGGTTACTGTAACCCTTCGCGGCAGTAATTAGACGAATTTTTTCTATTCTTATAACAGATTGCTTTTTTACATGAAAGGTAATCATTTTGATTCCAAAAAGTATTTTCGAAAATTTGTTTCGTTCAAGAGATATTTTTATCAAAAAATATATAAATACTGCTAAGGTGTCGTAATCGCTAATTGTGTGACTACTCCCGTTGAGCATTTTGTGTCYGATGCTTGTGTTGTTGGCTTGATCAGTTTTGTTGTCTTCTGCTTTCTCTCTCAAGTTGATTAATATTGCATTTTCAAACTTTCTTTCTTTTGGGCATTTTTCTATGTAACTAATATGCAGTAAACACCTGAAAATAAGAACCTTTTGCTTTTTGAAAGTCTGGCAAAAAAGGGTCTAAGTTTTAAGAGGTAGTTGTTGGTAATTTTGGCAAAACAGGTTCTTTTAATTAGGTTCTTAATTGCTAATAGGGGGATACAGTTGTTATTGTTTTGCATATATATCAAATATAAGAATAATAAATAAGCTCAATATGGACTAAAATTTTATATACAWTACTATGTTATGCATAACAGCTGTAACTTTCAATTGCTTTAAGAAGTAAACAATCAACTCAACAACTGCAAATTCAGTAAAAGTATTSTCTGGTAGTTCATTTTGTTTGGCTTCCTGCTACTTTAAAGAAAATGACAGCTTGACTTGTGGCCAATGATACAGGTACCACACTGTAGAAGGAGTAATTTTTACAGTGYTACATCAGTGTCACCCACACTCATGTTTCATGAGCAAGACTGGGAATAAAGTGTCAGATTGAGCATGTACAAGTAGGAAAACGAGTGAGGACATGGGGTGAGTAGCTTATTTTGCAGTAATTTTTAATTAAAAACTTTAGGAATAAATCAGGATGAAACAATACCAAGTTTAGATCATATCTGTACACACCTTTAGTGATTGTGCTAAACCAACAGCACCTTTAAAACGAATACAATTCCAACTAACATCGAAATGCTTGAGACCATAATTTACAGCCTGCAATAWATAAAACACAATCTAATTAATTGGAATATCTGATTGGTCACTTTGATGCAATTGGTTTTTCCAATGATTTGCTCTTGTTGTGAACACTGCTGCCTTAAAAAACCTTCATATTTGAATTTTCCAAATGGCAAAGAAAACTTGGGATGCATGCTGACTCCATTGCCTCTCCATTAAAAATTAGTAAAATAATCGATATAATAATTGATTTTTTTACCAGACAATAGTATACATGAAACATCAAAAATCGTTAATACTCTCTAACTCCCACAACAGAATATTCCCCCCCCCCCCCAAAAAAAAAAAAATCAAGCCACCAATGGCAACATAACTCGAAGATTGATACAGAATGATACATGTACGATGAATCAAATTTTAATTACTTAACAATTAAAATTTTAAGTAAGCGATTTATGAATTTTTTTTCATTAAAATCCTATTTACAATTCTAACTTCGGTTAAGGATAAGCACGACCARTGACRGTGAAATAAATGCCAGTCTTAGCCACGAGTATATCGAAATTGTCATCATAGCTCAGTGGTTAAAACATAGTCGTCCTGACCAAGTGGCCGCGGTTTGATTCCCAAGGGATGACATAATTTTTTTTCTTTTTTTCTTTCTTTCTTTTTTATTATATTTAAATTTAATTACTTTTTATAAAATAATAATATAATAAATAATTGTGAACACAAGTATCACAGGCTTAAGTTTACAGGAAAGTGAGTGATTGAGTGAGTGACAGATTCGTCCCCCTCGATTGCTTCGCAATCTTTGAGTAAAAAAAAATAGATTGGAAACTCACCAAACCAGCTCCCAAGTAGATGCCTCCTAATTCTCCTATCTCATTATGACTGATGTCCAAGTATTCAAGAGTGCGGTTTTCTTTTAAGGCCTCAGCAAATACTTTGGCATCCTTGTCAGTCAGGTGATTGGCTAAAATACAACAGAAACCCACAAGTAATTGGTTTANTGCAAACTATATATGTTATTACCATGGCCAACAACTATCACGGCAATATACAAAACTTCACAGCAAGAAACAAAACTTCACGGTGGAAGTGACACTTCACAGACCGAGGAACACTGGAAGTAAACATAAGCAAAAGACCAGGTGTGCTTTGCGATTGATTTCAAAATGGAGTCTAGTGATTCAGATGATGAATGTTCCCTTCAAAAATTGATACGTAATATTTCTATAGAGGATTCCAGTATTTCTATATGTTAAAGTAGACACTTTTAGAGCGTTAAGTCGGGATAGAATCGTTGCCAAAAAACCTTGGACTGTATATTATAATAATTTTTTGTCTCCAGTTTAACATTTTTATCCTTCAATTTTCACAGTCCTCCCCCTTAGCCCCCTTTCATCAATGTTGGGTCTTGTTTTGCATGGTTGTGTACTTTATGGTAACATGCTCAATGATAACATTGCATTTAGGGGGTCGGGGGGATGAAACGCTTGTGGCTCTGCCTCATTGCTTGACCCTTTCACTCCCATGGCACTCCTGAGAGAGAAAGTTTTAAAATGATGAAATTTGCTAGGGAATGGTCCAAGGATTTTGTCAACAATTGTTGTAGCTATTTTGGAAAATTGAGAAAGACAGGATATTACATGACTAAAAAAATCCATTTCCCAGAACAGAAACATATTTTTGCCTAGAAATGTGTACCCTTAAAATAATTATTTTCATTATAAATGTCTAGAAATGTGTACCCTTAAAATAATTATTTTCATTTTTTATTCTAAATAAATCTATCAATATTGTATCTTGACTTATACAATTGTTTTGCCCAACACAATGTGACCCCCTCAGTCTAGGAATGGAACCCAGGCCTGTAGACCCATAGCCTGATTTTCAGACGGGGCCTGGGTCCTACGCTTCTCTCCCAGGCCCCGTCTGAAAATCAGGCTAGTAGACCCAAAGTCCAATGCCTTTTAACCATAGGTCCATCACGTCTCTCACCAAAAGATGATTTTGGAAAATAAAAATCATTTCATATTCTAAGGTAAATAGGTTCTTGTTTATAGGGGTATAAATGACAAAATTTCAGGCTAACATATTTTCAAATTCTTACTTGCAGGTTTTCCGCTGTACAATGTCAGACTTATACTTCTTGAAAAAACACCTTTTTTCAGTTGCTTTTAGGCCTCAACAGCACATTAAATATTCTTTTGAATTTATAGGAATGCGAGCAATGCAAACATTGATATGCAYAGTCTCATTTGTCAAATTCAAAAGAATAATTTACTTGCTATCGAGGTCTAAGAGCAACTGAAAAGGTGTATTAAACACAATTTCATCATTTTTCATAGATTCTAATACCGAGTTTTCATCCTTTATTTATTACCATGAAGAAGTTTTATCATTTGAGGGAATTGCATGAAGTTATCGCACCTTCAAATGATCTATCATAATTTTAAACAATAACACAATTTTTACACTATTTAATGAACAATAATGAGAAATAACAAGTGCTAAAAAATACAATATTTAATTTATTTGTAYATTTGTGATTCTTAAACTAAATTCTTTACTAATTTCTTTACTAAATTTCATTAGTAAAGGTTTGCAATGTCCATTAATTAAGTTAACCATCAAGTATCATTGAATGGATATACTTACACTTTAAAACAAGTTTTCTGAGTGACTGATTTTTATATAGCATTGTAGCAAAAGCAACACCTCCCTCTGACCGTATGAAGTTCATAGAAAGGTCCTACAGCAATGATGACATAGTTGTTATGTTTTTCAAGCAAACCAAACTAGTATCACTAATCATAAGCTGAACTCACAATGTCTGTAATAAAGCAGTTATCTTGTAACATGTTGGCCAGTGAGACTGCACCAGGACCCTCTATGTAGTTGTCTGTCAGATCGATTTTTTCAATGAAAGTATTCTTCTGCAATAGATAGAAAATTTTAATGACCATGAGTGATAAAGTTTATCATAAATGAATAAATAGAGGATATTACATGGGCGCGCGGAGATACAGATTTTATCTTCGAGTGCTGAAAAGATCTCTCACGAGTGAGCGTAGCTCACTCGTGAGAGATTTTCAACACGAGAAGATAAAATTTGTATCTCCAAGCAATCATGTAATATTCTGTTTATCATATAATTAAATATGAAAGCAAGTTATGTCTTAAAATAACATGTTACTTTCACCAGTGAAAATATCAATTTTACGTAATGGAGAATTATAGGTATTTCATTATAGATAATTATATGATAATATATAATATCAAATTATAATCGTATGAGGAAGTAGCTGATCCCATTAAAGAGTGCTCAATACACAAAAAAAGTGTAGAGCTAGTTATATATATGATATCAAAGAGGCAAGATTTTGCTGTAACTCCGAGTTTCGTGCTACGCACTCACATTAAATACTGTCTGATGAGTGCGTAGCACGAAACTCGGAGTTACAGCAAAATCTTGCCTCTTTGATATCATATATATAATATCAAATTATATATAAGTTTATTCAGTGGCAAATGGTATCCTTCAAAAACACTTAGAACAAAATGAAAAACCTGGACAGGTACATTCCTATACCCAAGGATACTTCTCAGTTTCCCAACAGAAAAATGAAGACTTATGGTCACTTTGGAAACAAATGATTCTTTGATTTCATTGGTTCAAAAATTCCCATGCATCATCATACGACCCACATTCTGTGTCTTCTAGTATCATCTCCATCCAGAGCCTTTGAAATCTATTGGGAAACTGAAAAGGATCTGGAGTATGAAATTAATGAATATGGGTTTACTTGGTTTTAATGCTGTACTTTACTATGCATGTCTGTAAGTCTTGTTGTATCGTTTTCCACTAAATTTTGTCTGGTGTTTGAGACCCAAATTCTTTGATGGTCTCAAATTGTAATTTTTGCAAACAACAGTCGAGTCTTGAACATTGTCCAATGCTGGATATGTTACTTTCTGTATTAAGCATCATGATTACCTATGCCCAATGTAAGATAAATAAAGGGGCGGCAGAGCGAGGGGCGCAAGGCCTCACTACATAACAGTATCACTTTTATAAAACGTGTATAATTATGCATTTGCAAAAGTTGATGTGATGTCATCACTATACGTGTAAGTCTATGATTGTGCCCCCAGTCAATTTTGGCTCAATTTTCACCCCTGAAATACTGCCAAAAATAAATATTAACTTAGACACATAGCTGCGTGAACTCGGGGTTCTTGTTGATTAAAATCTAGTAGTGAATCCACAATATTAATATTCAGCAGTGTAAATTGTTATATCGATAAAGTTTGTATAGTTCGTAGTTTCTTTGGTAAGGCTCGTTTACACTAAATTGTGAATTTTGCAGTGTATGAAAATACAGCTAAAAGAAAACCCTACTTTGCATAGCAGGCATTCGATAGTGCCAATGAATATCACTCTTTATTTGTTTATCTTTTGTTTAATTATTTTTACTTATTTACATTTGAATTAATTTTGCCATTATTTACTAATCACTTCTAGAACTTGTAATGTATTGCGTTACATCACGTCACGTGTCACGTATTTCCTAAGATGATATGACACGACTTGTATTAGGACTAGGGAGTTGAATAAAGCATCGCTCAAGATAACACATGGTGTCAGAATAAAATGAGAAAAAACACCAAAAACAACAGCTCAGTTCAATGAGACGTTCAATGGAATATTACAAAAGAAAACAGAAGCTGAAACCGTCGCGATCTTCATGTCCATGATTGGGCGAGAGGGACAAGACATAAAGGACACTTTTACTTTTAACAAGGATAGAGATGGCAAGGACATCGTCACAACAAACATCCTGTTCACTAAGTTTGAGGAGGACTGTAAGCCGAGGAAAACCACGACTCACAATAATTGATCGTCATCGCTTCCTAACTAGAGATCAACTGCCGAACGAGTTGCTTGATCAATACGTTACGGAATTACGTACGCTGGCCTCTTCATCCGAATGGGGGGGGGGGGGGTGGTCTCAAGGACAATTTAATTTGCAGCAGGATTGTAAGCGGTATACAGTCAAAGCCTCTATGTGAACGACTACTACACGAGATAGATTTAAAACTCAACCAAGCAATCAATATCTGCCAAGCCGACGAGATCTCCAAACAACAAAGCAAACTTTTTGGAGAACAACCGACTGTTCAAGCGATCCAAACACAACGAAAACAGAAAAAAGAACAAAAACCAAACCACAATAGACCACTTTCATAAGTGCCTACCATCGATTTTATACAATTTATAATATTATGGAAACATTCAACACAGACTGTCATATGGAAGACCTATTAGAAATCATGTAAAGTTTTAAAGCCATGGACTAAATACTAACAAAGTTATCGAGGAATGAAAATACAGGGATTTGTATGGAATTCTTTGCTAGTGACTGGGTAGCCTCGTTTTGATGTTTTCGTACCTCTTCTAACCCTTATAAGTTCAAGAGGATTTTTTATATTTTTCTGTGAAACCTTCAGAGTTTATCTTTGACTTTGATATCTACCATTTGATTGTTTTCATTTGTCAAAATTAATAATAGAGCGATAATATGCTAATTAGTGTTACACCAAATCTGGATACTGGTAGGTCCTGATTGACGAGGACAGTTCATCAACTACATTTGCTACACTTTTTGACCGATATCGTTTTACCAGAAAGCCTTTTGGCATTCGAAGCGCACAGGAAGTCTTTCATAACAGACTTCACGAACTGATGTACGATCTTGCGGGAGTCGAGACCGACATTGATGACATTCTCGTTTGGGGAAGAACAAAGACAGAACATGATGAAAGATTGTACAACGTTCTCAAGCGCTCACGTGAGTGCAACCTCAAACTCAACCCAGACAAGTGCAAGATCCGTAAGACGGAAGTAACTTACATCGGTCACCGATTAACAAAGGACGGCGTCAAGCCAGACAACTCAAAGATTGAAGCAATCGTAAACATGCCTGCACCACAAGACAAAAAGGGAGTGCAACGCCTCCTAGGCATGATTAACTACCTGGCAAAGTTCATCCCTAACCTCTCAGCCATCACAGCACCTCTCCATGAGTTACTTAAGGAGCAGACTGCGTGGCATTGGACTCAACTACACGACGAAGCACTCCAAGAAATAAAGAATCTACTGTCAGAGTCCAGTTGCGGAGTCCTCAAGTACTACGAACCAGCCAAACCAGTAAAGCTGCAAGTTGATGCGTGCAAGTCAGGCCTCGGAGCAGTCCTTCTTCAGCATGAGAGACCGGTTGCTTATACATCACGCGCTCTTACAGACGCGGAATGCAGGTATGCTCAGATAGAAAAGGATCAGGCGCCAGCACGTCTGCAGAGAATGCTTTTATGTCTTCAACGCTACGGCATCAAACTAATCTTCAAACCCGGCAAAGAGATGTATGCTGCAGACACTCTATGTAGAGTGTATCTAACAACACAGACCAAAGACGATGAGGAACTCATCACCTACATCAGCTCTGTAACCACCTCTCTGCCTGTCAGTGATCACAAACTACTCAAGCTACAGCAAGAAACATCGAAAGACACAGAGTTATTGACACTAACAAACCTCACCAAAGAGGGTTGGCCACTCCACAAAGACGGAGTACCACTGGAAGTACGCCAATATTGGCCAGTTCGCAATCAGCTCACAGTTGACAACAGCCTCGTCATGAAAGGAGAAGAAATCGTGATTCCCAGCAGCATGAGGAGGGAAGTCCTCTCAAAGATTCATGAAGGACATCTCAGCATCGTAAGGAGCAAACTACGTGCCAAAGAAGCAGTCTACTGGCCCGGTATGCTCAACCAGATTGAAGACCTCATAACAAGCTGCAACACCTGTCAAGAGCTGAGGAACAATAACCAAAAGGAGCCGCTGATTCCACATGAAATACCTTCATATCCATGGCAAGCAGTTGCAACAGATCTGTTTACTTGGAACAATTTCAACTATCTTGTTGTCGTTGACTACTACAGTCGTTACTGGGAGATATCCTCTCTCAACACCACTTCGAGTGCAAGCATCGTAAGCAAGTTAAAGTCCACCTTCGCACAGGATGGGATACCTGTTGTCAAGTCCGACAATGGGCCCCAATACAGCCCAGCAGAGTTTGCCACTTTTGCTAATGAGTGGGGATTCTGTTTGTATTCCTTAGATAAGGCTTTTAGTAGTTTCAGAGCCTGTATAATTATGTAATATATAGTTCACTTTTGATGAGATAGCTAGCAAATTTGTGGTATCTCTCCAAATGCCCTTTCGAAAAATGCTCGATGTTATTTACGTGAATGGTGTATGGATTTGTAAGTGATTTGAGCGTATTTGAAGTTGAATCCATGTCTTTAATTCATGCGTTACCACACTCACCACCATAAAGATAGCACATGGAAGTTGTGAATATCATGTGATAGGTTTAACTTTTCGTACCCATGCAGTGCATTCTAGTTAAGCCGAGGACAATTTGTGACTGAAAGAAGAATGATCATGACAAAAAAGAGCCAAAACTTAAACTTGGGATTAAACTTGTCAAGATGTTGTTAGAATTGTATTTTGATAATTAAAATAACTGCAAATTATTATATTAAAAGCCTTCAGCCTTCAGTACATCTTTTCACCTTTAAAGACTTAGCAAGTGGTAATGTTCCAATTGTCCCCAATCCATGATGTCGCATGATTATTTCACTTTCTTTGAGTCTCTCAGTAAAATACGAAACAGGTACTAAATCTGAAAAAAAACATGACCACAAGAATGAGATTTATTATTTTAACAAATCGTATAATTGAGAATAACAGAGTAAGGATTGAAGATGTCTTAAAAAACCATTTATACCAATATAATTTATGGAGGTACAACTTCTACTTTGCAAAAGTTTAAGAAGAATTATTAAATCCTTTTATCAGGACTCAATGTGTGAAAGACTTAAATTCATTGATTTTTTTCTGCAATGAGGACAGATTGCGCCAATTACTTCCATTAAGTTTTTTGTGGTTATACTCCCATCCTTAAGGATGTGGATGGAGTATCCACTAATATATGTAATCATCCAAGGTAAGGAAGAGTTGAAACAAATATTCTGTGATGTCCATTGCACATTGTTAATTTTTGTTAATTTTTTTTTTTGTGGATAT